TGAAGAGCCGCTCTGTCATACTGTTATTAAGAGATGCCGTGTTGACAAACTCTGCAACATCAAAGTCCAGCTCAGTTTTGAATGGACGCCAAGGATCGGCGTCGATTGCGGCGAGGTCGATGTCTGCAGAGCGACGAAATGCGTCCGGGGACTGGATGATTGGGGGCGGTTGGAATGAGGGTGATACTCAATTTTGATGTCGTTGATCGCAGGCGCCGAATCGCCGTCGACACCCGCACACTCGATATCCGCTGGATTCACACCCTCGTCAGCAGAGGGGACGATATCTAGAGCAGGATCTTGGCTGAATGACGATATTCCGAGGAGGAATAACAGTAGAAAACGAACCCGCATTCAGTGGAGTGTCAGATAAATTGCAGTGCGACATATTCAGATGTACATAGTCGTCGTCCGGGGCTACAACAGCAATGGGTATCCGTAGAAAAACGACATAAAACATATACTAACTGCGTGAGTGCCGGTTCCCTGGCTCGGATACAGCCGTAGCCTGTAGACTGGGCTGCCATGCGTGCGCCGCTCGTTGATCATCGAGAACTTCCGAAGATGGCGGGTGAGTACTTCGCTATACATGAGAAAGATTGGTACTGCGCACCTTGCCGGCTCTGCTCGAGCATGGCCTGATAACCGGTGCCGACATCAGCCCGCTTCTTGCAAGCCTTCTCGTGATTTGACTGTGCATTACGAGTTGAGCACGTCTTGCCGCAGTGCGAACATGGAGAGATTGGGAGCGCCGAGCCACGGCTTCGTGCACCTGATGCCATGGGATTCTTGGCTAGCATGTGCGAACAAGACGTGAGGAGATGAACATCAAGAGCGAAACGAATTGCTAGTACTTACCTCACAAGGAATGTTAAACTGTAGCTATAAACAGGGCAGGCCCGGTGCGCAGAAGGGAGCGCGTCCTTGACTAAGAACGAAAGTGTATGATTGGTATCGTCGGGGGGCGTCCTTGATGCGGAGAAGACGTACGATATGCACGGAGTATGGTCGGACTCGAGGGCCTGATGATCAGGATGCCGTGTGAGTGTGCTGTCAGCCGCAAAAAGCGGTGAGAAGAACATACAAATGATTTACACAAGGGCAGAGTCGATTGGGAGAGGTTGCAGAAGCGGAGAGCGAGAGCGAAAGCAGGGAACGGAAGAGGCGTTGCAATCGGATTGACATGGCATTCCAATCGGCGCTCAAGACGGCTTACATCATTGCGTTCCCATTGCAATCTCGGGCCGGCATGGCGATCGATTGCAAAGGCGCTTGCAAGGGCGTCTCAACGCGGAGCCATTGCAATGCCGATCGGCTTTTTCCGACAAGGGTCCGCGCCTGCAGAAGGGAGCCAAACCGGTTGTGTCGACGGTTGAGATCCCATCGACCACCCGTGGGATCTTCCGGTTGAGAGCGAGAAGGCGATGATACGACCCTGCAGCGATCCAATCCAGATCGACACAGTATCGATCCGTGACGCGCTTGGCGACTACTGCCTTGACAGCCGCTACCTCTGCCTCGTCCTCTAGGTCGAAGTGACATGCGATCGCAAAGACGCGCAGAGGGTCCTTGTCGAGGAAGCACGGGAGCAAGAGCTGCCTGCGCATCAGGCCTATGATTTTGGGTGAATCGAACTTCCTTCCTGCTTCGATGACGCGGCTGATGGTCTCGAAAGAAGCAACGGAGTGGTCCTCGGAGGGGTACAGGAGGCGGAGGAATGGGTCGATGGTCGCGCTGTCTTCGACGACGTCCACGCACGGCCGAACGGGGTCGGTGTCTTCGGCTTGAGGCAGGGTGAGCATGCTTTCGAAGAAGCCGGAGCCCAGGGAGAGGACGAGACGGTGGACATAGAAGTCGACGTGATCGCTGGTGCGGATGATAAGGTCCGTGTCCTCCCGGTCGAATGGTGCCTGCGCCTTGCGTGTTTCAATTGGGACTGGAGTAGGTGGATCGGGAGCAGCCTGGTCTGTGGGAACTGACATCGCGCGCTGTGGATGAGGCAGTCAATATCAACGGCGGCGATAGATTTGAGGACAATGAACACCGACCTGAGGATGAGAGGTGACAGAACAAATGAGAGGGAGCGGTGTATCGGAACACGCGTTTGACCTGCAGGTGTCTGCGAGTTGCACGTTTTACCGCAGCACATTCGCGCTAGTTGAACGTTGAATGCAGACGGCTCGGCGGACCGCTGCTCCATCCCGTCCACGAGATGGGACAGGTGTGCTACAAGTGCCACCTCCGGCTCCCTTCGCATGCTCCAAAACATCGCAGATGGCCCGACGAAGAGGCGGGAAAACGCACACAAACGATTGCTTCTCTCCAGCAACACGTCTCCCGGATAGAAGAGTGCCAATGCCCGCCTGTGGGCGCGAAATGCACGAGTGGGAGAGATGGAAGCGGACTCACGCTCGGAAATCGTAACATTCGGAGTCGGGTGGAGAGGCCATCCCGGGTGATGGCGAAAGTTCAAACGTTCAAGCTTCCATTCTGTCACGATCTGGGCCACGGGCGTAGAGGCTGATGTGTCGAGGGCTTGGACAGCCGAGAGAGGCCTGTCTTGAGGCTCGTGGCGCTAAATCGTGGAAACTCGGCGGCGGTTGAAGGGACAAGCATCCAGTAAGCCGTTGCGAGTGAATCCTCTTCGGAGTCGAGATATGTCGGTGAGGACTGAGCATGATCATCGGCGACCACATATGTAGGGCATCGCCTCGGGGAGAAATGGCCCGGAAAGGGACCGGGCCAGTCTGAGGCGCCGATCGCAACTCTGGATTTCGCTAAGTACGCCGAACGTCTTTGTGGGCACACTCGCAGGCATGATTAGCTGCTATGGCTCGTCAACGTTTCAACAGTCATTCAAGATGTATATGGTAACGCTTCTTATACATATCGTGTGTGGCGTCCTCGAATATAAATATACTGTGATCGCCCACGGCAGTCACCCCACCGACAACCTGAAGCGCCGCCGTACACCGAATCATTCCGCTGAATCGACCAAAGCATGTATCAAAACATGCTCGATTCCTTTTGCCACATCTGAGTCGCCGTTCCTGGAGAGCACGTCAACCCGCAGCTTCGACATTGCAGGGCGCCGTGAGCTTCACCTACATGCGAGAGCGGTTGAGCGAGTGCGCAAATATGTCATGAAAGCCCGAGACAGACCTTTCTCATCGAAACGTCCACCGCTTGCGCGTACTTCTCAAGAAACGCCAACGCCCACTCCAGCCTGCGCTCCGATGACGGGTAGACATCCTCCCCATAAGACCACGCAGAGGCACTGCTCTCTGCCTCGAGGAGCAGCCGCAACCCGCCCCGGGACCGGGAGAAGGCCTCGCGACGGACGACCGCCTCCTTGAGCTCGACGACGATGTCGTCGCTCAGCCACATCGGTGGGTTGTGCAGCTCGAGCGACTCGGGAAAGAGCGCGGCCAGGACATTGTTCACTGCGGGGCTGGCGGCGCGCGGCATCCGAGGGAGCCGGTTGACGGTGTCCACCTCCGCCGCGGCTTCCAAGCATCTTGTTGCGTAGAGTAGCAGGTCTCGGAAGGCTGGAGTGCGCACGTCCTCCATTTCGGGGACGTACACCTTTGATATCGAAGTTGCGTCACCATACTTCCTGACGACTGCATAGGCAAAGGCCTGTGCTTCGCGACGCAAGCCCGACCCGGCAGCTATGAAGTAGAGCTCCAAAGGGCGGGAGGCGGCTTCCTTGCGCAAGGAGGGGAGCATCAACCAGGCGACTTTGGTGAGGTTATATTTCGCGGCTGCGCGAAATACTTCGATAGCAGACGCCCCTGGATCGGAAATCGTGTGCGACGGGTAGCTCCCTTCCAAGAGACGAAGGACGACATCGGCGCCTTCCCTCATGCGGTATACAGGAAGGGTGAGAGAGGAGGAGTTGGAAGTCGTGTGGGTGTCCTGTTCCGCCAGATTGGACAGCCAACGAGACGAAGCGAGCGTGATGATCGTCTTGTGCACGAAGAAGGAATGCCCGTCCGCGGTCTGTAGCTCCAGGTCAGGGGGGAGATCTCGCGAGACCTCGGCGTTAAACTCCGCTGTCGTCTCCTCCTCCACCATGCCGGGCTCCAGGACCGCCACAAGGCTCCGCACAGAGGGCCCACGTTCACAGAATGGGGCCACTCCGGCGGTGTCCACCGTGAGAGCTCCGTTTGGCAGCACCTCCCGGGTCTTGCGGTTAAGTGCGAGGAGCCGATAGTATGACCCGGCTGCTATTTCGTCCAGATCGGCGCAGTACTGATCCATGACGCGATTGGTGACGACGGCCTCGACCGCTGCGATCGCTGCTTCGTTTTCCAGGTCGAAACGACACGCGATAGCGAAGACGCGGAGAGGGTCTTGGTTGAGGAAGCAGGGGAACAGGAGTTGTCGTCGCATCGTGCTGAGAATCTTCCGAGCCTCGAACTTCCTTCCCGCTTCCAAGACAGGGACAAAAATGTCGAGTGATGTGACGAGATAGTCTTCCGAGGGGTACAGGAGGCGCAGGAAGACGTCGATAGTCGTGCTGTCTTCGACAACGTGGACGCTGGCAGGGATCGGGTCGGTGTCTCGAGGTTGGGGGACGGTAAACATGCCGTCAAAGAACTGGGAGCCGACGGAGAGTATAGAACGATGGACGTAGAAGTCGACGTGATCGCGGGTGATGATGGTGAAGTCGGCGTCCTCACGGTTGAAGGGGGCTCCAGCCTTGCGCGCCTCATCTGTTGGGCTAGCATTAATGTCTTGGTTTGCAGAAAAAGTCATCGTTTACTCTGTTACATATCAAAGTCAGAAGCCGCTCAGATGCATACAAGAGCACAAATGACCGACCGGCACGGTGATCTCAGGGGAGCGAGGGAGAGAGGACACACTCGTTCGACTTGTATACACGTCTCCGCGCTCCGAATGCATTACCGCAGCACGTCCTTGCTCGTTGGGAATCGATGGCCACGCGGTCCCCTCATCATGCAATTGAGGTGGGAAGGTGGTGCCGCGAGGAATCGTCGTGTCGGCATGGTCGAGGGGGTGATGCGGGGAGAACAGGTCATCAACAGAGCCAGCTCCCGAAGGACTGCAAGGTCTCAGTTGCGCATATAGTGATGGATCGGGCCCGCGGTATAGACGTAGATCCTTCTCGTCCGCTTCCCCTCCGAGCAGGATATATCCGGAGGATAAGGAGACGGATGAACTCACGCTGTGGTATTTTCTCTCGTCCTCATTTTCCAACCCCCGCCACCTGGAAAGCGCGAAGCAGAGGACCATGAAAGTCATGGAAGACGGAGCACATGACACGTCGATCTGAAGTCATGCAATTCAGACCTCCGCTGCATACGACGGAGAAGGGACGCACACACCGTTCTCCCATTCACAGCGTCTGGCTATCCCCGCGTGACGCGAACACATCTGAAGTGGGAGGATGCCGCTGGTTGACGTGCAGACGTTTCGGTCTTGAAGTCAGACGTCCACAGGGATTTTGTACATAGAGTGATAGGGGTAACGGATATCGAGCAGATGGAATTTGACCTCGGAGATGAGCTGAAAGCTAGAACCGTCAGGTTAGAGGGCGCAAGTGCAAGCTGCGGAATGGCTGCCAGGCTCCAGTCTGCTCCAGTCGGCCCGTTGACACGTCCGCCATCGGGCCGTCTCGGGCCGCGACGCTTGGGGAAATATTATCGGGCTGCGAGCTGCTGCGAGCGGCGTACACGAGCGGGGGAACTTCTGCCTTTCTCTCTCCCTCACCCAAATGACATCCGAGTCGGGCGCATACCGGGATATCTCTTCTCATAATTGCGCTTTGACGGCCCTGATTCCAGCTGCATCGCGCAACGCGAAGCTCAACGCTCACTGCACACAGCTGTGTGACGGCGAGGCTTGGTGATAAGTCGCTCGAATACTCTCGTGCTGGCATACAGTGTTGCTGCGCTGGTCGGCTTCAATTAATTCGTCACATGCCTACTACTGCAGGTACTACGGTAGTCGAAGGTATGCTCCGGGCTCCATCAAGTTGCGCTGCGGTAAGCAGCCGTTGCGAGACATCGTTTATATACCGTCATGCTTTCATCTGCACCTCACCATTCCGTCCCCCCGCCACATGCTCAACACTGCAACCTATCCCCTCATCATTGCCATGCTCGAGGGTAACAAGGATTGTGTCACCATTGCTCCCCTCATGCTCGAAGGGCTTAAAAATGTGCTCGAAAGAGAGCTTTGTTCGCTGAGGTGGGTTCAATGTCGTGTATAGCTTCTGGTTGCTGATAATTGATTCGTACTTCTAGTTCGCCCTCAGTGAGTTCCACCACATCTTGCACTTTGCTTTCCCCCCGACTCAAATGCCGACAGCTGCTTGTCCTTTCCCAAGAACTTGTTTTGCTCAACTGCCACGCGCGTACACAGTACAACAACCGAGCTGTAATCCATCGCCTCCCCACCGAAATCCTCTCCCTGTGCTTCCTCTTCGCTCGCGATGCTACGATCGTCATCACAGAGCAACACGGCATGCACAGGATCAATCCCGCGACTGTTGTCGCGTTGAGCCATGTATGCAGTCGTTGGCGTACTGTTGCTCTCGAATGCTCCAGCCTCTGGGCCACCCTCTCCGTCAACTCCGCCTCATGCACCCACTTCGTCCAACATGCACGCTCCACTCCGCTGATTGTGTACATGAAGCCGGGCGACCTCAAACGCCTCTCTCCCGAGCTCCTGTGGCGCATCCCATATCCCCAAATTCGTTCTCTTCAGCTTTCGATCTCAGATGGCCGGCAGCTCCGGGCTCTCACATCCGTCCTCAAAGCTCTTGCTCCAACTCTCCATTCGTTGTCTATACAGATGACGGCTATACCGCGTTGGAACGACCAAACAGTGTCAGAGGTGGCGCTTTTCTCGGGACAAAAATCCAATCTCAGGAGTCTCCGCATCCACTGGCTAGCCACAGGTTGCGTCATTTTGCCCATAGATCACTTCCCATGTCTCCTTGAGCTCTCATTCATCCTCATCAGTTCACACACACTACCCATTTCCTCCTTGCAGGCCTGGTTGGCTGCTTTTCTGCAGCACACACCGCTCCTGGAGCGGCTTGACCTTTGCATCGCCCCGCAACTTAACCATGGCAACAGTCTCGACGGGTCATATACCGCTCACCAACAGGTTCCCTTACGTCATCTGCAGCGGCTTCGGCCACCCTTTTTTCCGCCAATATGCTATCTGCCTTCGAAATCCCTTCTCATACTGTTCTCAGCATCTCCTTATGTGATCCCGACTTCTACGACACGGCAAAAGCGTTGGTGCTTCAGCACGGAGGAAGACCCACCGACCTTGAAGTAATTCACGGAGGAAGTTGTCTGCGTCTCAGGAACGCGACATCTCAATTCGCGTTCCTGGTCAGCGGTATGCGATCTGTGAGATCATGGGACGACAGTACCATGCGTTTCTCGAGCATCCACCCCATCCTCGAGATCCTCGATGAGGTCAAAACCGTACGGATTCAGGACTTCCGTCCTCGGGTTTGGAATGAGACACAAATCGGTTCTGACTCAATTACAAAATCCGACTTCATGTTCAAGACCCTTCCCGCATTCACTCCCCTGGTGAAGACCCTCGCTCTACGGACCATACGCAGACACGGCGATCTCCCGCTCCGCGCTCTCCTCTCCCAATCTGAGCCCGTGCTCTGGCCCTGCCTCGAGGACGTCTGCGTCAGCGGCCTCCGGCCTCCCCTCAACGACCTGCACGCTGTCGAAGAGCGAGCGCGCAACGGCCACCCCCTCCGCCGCGTCGTCTTCTGCATCCCCAACACCATCACCTCGCGCGGGGCGCCGCTCAGTCCGTACCGCGTCGGGTCCGACGCGCACGGCTGGACGGACGTCGAGCAGTCCTCTGCGGACCTCTTCAACAGCTTCGCGCGCGTCTCGGAGGGGCCGCGCTGGACGACGTTGTCCCAGTGGTGGACGGATGGGGCAGGGCAGGGCGACACGTTCCCTACGGAAACCCTAGACGCTATTCATGGGGAGAACGAGTGGGTGCAGTACCCAACGGCGATACCTGGGGTGAGGACGGCGGAGGGGTACGAGCAAGCGTGGGAGAGGATCGTGCAGGTGTGCTCGGTGGGGTACTCGGCTGCGAAGGGGCTGAGGAAGCCGATGGTGGCCGGGCAGGGGCGGAGACTGTGGGGATCTTTCAAGGATATCGGGCGGTTGGATGAGTTGTGGTAGGACGTCTCCACTGCAAGCTCCATCGTTTCAGGGTGTACTTTGGAGTAGAAATGCGTATGGATCACGGACGAGTTGTCCTGCGCTGCGGATATTGATCTTGATGCATCGACTACGATCTCCACTCGCCCAGTTCACCGAACGCAATTGACATTCCGCCGTCAAATACTCGTTCTTGGACAGCGGGCTCACCACGTACCCCATGTTCGTCAACGTGATCGCGATGCCCTTGCCACTGAACGCGCTCTCCGCTCGTGCCCATCCCGGCCCCGAAGCCCATGCCGAGGCTTGTTCCGTGGATGGCGACGTGGTACGCGCGCAGGTGCTGCCGGATCACGCAGCCGAAGTCGACCGCGTCCATATGGCCTGGGTTCTAGTAGTCCAGGATCCAGATCGGGGAGTAGTCTTACTGGGCCGCGAGCTGCTTCGGCATGAGCGCGAAGGCGTCGGGCATGACTGGGTCTAGTTGGACACGTCCGCACTGGTGATCGAGACCTTGAGGCTTGGAGGGAGCTGCGGGAAATGGGTCAGCTCGTGGAGGGAGTACAGAGGATGCACGGTGGGCATGATCCGTGGTGGCGGAGTTGGTTTCGAGAAGTACTATAGAATGCGAGCGACAATTGGCAAAATCCTTGTACTTACTGGCATGCGGATGGAAGGAATGGCTGAGGCTCACTTTGGGAGTCTTTGCAGAGGGCGTATTGGGCTGTGCACTGAAGGACAGCTGCTCGGAGAAAGCGCCTCATCATGTATGATTTTGCAAGCGGCAGCCTTAGAAGCCTAGTCAGCTCAAGCCTGGAGGGCAACCTTGCATTGGACAGATTTTTCGCGGATGTTTGTGAGCGATAATTGCAGGAAGTTCAGGAGGGAGAGCTCAGGGCACACAACCAGGTTATGGTACCGTCGACTACACTGGTCGAGACTCGAGAATGCACAGCGCTTGTGCGCACCCCATTCGGAGTTTCAATCCTTCGGAGATGGCCGGAAAGCGTCTAAGGAGACGAGACTCGAGACTCGAGACTCGAGACTCGGGTTCTTCATCGTATCCTGCTACTCAGACCTATTACTTTTGTTTGCTCCCTCGAAGTTTCACCACAGCGCAAGAAACACCTCCATTATACGCCATGGTCTCATAATTGACGATTCTCTCATCGAATCAATGCCCGAGTGAAGTCGAGGTTTCGGGTGGGGGGAATGATACTGAAGCTCGGACGTGGCGTGCTGGACAGCATGAAGAGAGGATGCCCGGTATTTACCCTCTGCTTTATCCGCGCTAGCATTCGCTCATTTGTCGTTAGAGGCAATACCTCTTCACCGTGACACACGGTGGGAACCAATGTCCTCATCTACACCTATTCCGCGACTTCCTCTTGTGGTTTCGCTCTTGACGCGGAGCTGCTCTGGCTGAGTAATGACCGACGCAACCGGATTGACCGACTGTACGCGCTCTTACGCCCAAGTGAGCGTCATGATTCATCTCATTGCCAGTTGGATTCAGCTGACGCGATTCAATAGTGCGTCCTGAAGTAGTGCTTCGGAGCAGAGCCTACTCCGCGCTGTCGGAGTGGACATGGAGTTTGTAAGCCAGTAGTCCCCAATTTCACGGATCACGACACATTTCGTCAGATCGGCTTCGGGTTGCGCTTTGGATTCTCTTTCTCGTCCCACGCCAGGTGCGCATTTCGTCCGCGTCTGCCGGTTTCACAGTGGCATATATATGCAGGTCTGCACTACAAGGGCCCGCACAACACTTTCAACGATCTGAACATCACTTCAAGAATGGCCGCCACTGCAGTCCTTTCCTCCCGCGACGTTCCGACGACGCTCAACTACTACACCCCCACTGCGGCTGGAAAGCCATACCACTACGTCGAGGAGCCTCCCGCCGGCAAGCCCAAGACCAACGTCGGTCAGGAGCCGCACTCGGTCCTCATTCACAATGCCCGCGGACGCGAGGACGAGTTCGGGCTCGACAAGAGCGGCTTCCAGTTCGTCAAGTGGCCGAGCGTGGAGCGCGAGTTCGACGATGAAGAACGGATCAAGTCGGTGTACTACCCCGAGGTGGAGGAGCTGCTGAAAAGGTCGCGGGGGCAAAGCGCGTCTTTATCTTCGACCACACTCTCAGGTGAGTCGCGAGCGCTGTCCTGGGTGCTGTTCGACCGACGGATCTCACGCGTACTGCAGGCGCAAGGTCTCCGAAGGGCCAAGGACAACGCGCAGAACCGCGGGCCCGTGGTGAGTGGTTTCGTCTCTGCCTGCACCCCTCGCATTGACGGCGCACCCCAGCAACTGGTCCACATCGACCAGACGTACAATGCAAGCGTCGAGCGCGTCAAGCATCACCTCCCGAGGACGCCGACCGCCTGTTGAAGTCGCGCGTGCGGATCATCAACGTCTGGCGGCCGATCCACCACCCCGTCGCGCACTTTCCGCTCGCCGTGTCCGACTGGCGTCACCTGGACGAGAAAGACCTCGTCCCGTCCGACCTGATCTACCCGACCCGGACGGGAGGGACGTACAGCGTGCGGTACAACGCGGAGCACCGTGGTACTACCTCGCAGATCAGACGCCTGAGGCGGTGACGCTGATCAAGTGCTACGACTCGGAGGAGGACAGGGCTCGGCTGACGCCGCATTCCGCGTTCGCGGACGAGAGCAGCCCTGCGGACGCGCCCCACCGGGAGTCGATTGAGATCCGTGCGCTCGTCTTCGACAGCGAGTAGAGTGTCCACTTGGGTATGCGGTCCTTGCTCTTGACATCACTTGCTTGATAGTGTTGATGTACTGTAGGAGAGTCTCGTGCTGTTCTCTTATGCCTGCCAATCACTTGTGCACTATGGATCCTAAAGCCTTACCACGGTGTTGTGTCCCATTCAAATATGATATGAGCACGTAAAGACCTCGTGCGTTTTATTTAAAGCGAAGCGAGCGCAGCTCGGGTGCCAGTGCTGTTCTTGCTGCGGCTTAGTCAGCTCTGCGGACAGACTTATAATAGCTGGCGAGGGTGGAGCCAGCACAGTTTGGCCTCTGACAATAACCTCCCACTCTCTGCCTGCACTGGACCTGCCCCGGTCCCGTATCGCTACTAAGTACAGTTTTCTCCAAGCCCGACACGCTCATGTGGTCTCAGCATCTGCCGATCGGCCAAGGCCCATCCGGGTTCGTCACGCCGTGACAAGCCCGATTGCCCAGCCCATCGACGGGCAGTCTCAAGTGTGCGCGGCCCACAGCGGCGGTCGAGGTTGTGTGTGGTAATAGCGGGCAGAGCTACGAAGGTGAGTGCTTGCCACGACATGGCCCTTAGCCTATGTGGAAGGCGGGAGACTACCCTTAGTAGTCATGCTCGACCTCGGCGGGCGATGCAGCGGGCACGGGCACCATCACGGTTCACCAAGGCAGCAGTGACTGGACTCACTTTGCGTGCGATCAACATGTGTTGATCGCATGCAAACGGCCTCGGTGAGCCGCCTGAGAAGGTCCCCGACGTCTTATATACCCGCGCACCCCTTTCGAACGCCATTCCCGTCTCTTTCTCGCCCCCACCGTCTCCCTCGTCTCCCCACCGCCAAGGCCATGGCCTCCGTCGCTCTTTCTATTGCCCTCTTCGCCGGCGTTGCCGCCGCGCAGTCTTCCACCGTGAACTTTGCGCCCACCCCTCTTATCAACGTCAAGTACCCCCGTCCCTCCGACGCCCCCTACCAAGTCTTTGATTTCAATGGCCATGACATCTACACGCGCGGATACCAATCCGGCTACAACATCTGTAATTCCACCACCGAGGGCCAGGACTCCTCTGCCAGACCGTCTCCAGAACTCCATCATGGGTCCTCCCCATCCTTTTTCCCCTTGAGCCTCACTAATGTCTATTCATCTCCAGACTTCTGCCTCTGGGCTCCTACCAAGCTCTCAGAGATTGGCGATGCCGAGGGTGATGTCGTCGCCTGGTGCACCAAGAAAGGCCACGGCACTCGCATCATCCCTGAAGGTACCATCAAGGGCATGCAGCTCCTTTTCGACGGAGAGGCGTACATGATGACCGGCAGCATCGACCAGACCAAGCTCAACATAGTTGCCGGTGACTTCGGTGGCGAGCTCGACTCCGGAGGACAGGATGGCGTACGTCGTTGCTTTGATTTCACGTCAACTGTGTGTTTAACAACCACGTCTACCTGTAGCGTGGTAACCCCATCGGCGGTCTCTTGTACTCCACCACCTTCTCCCCTGATGGTCAGCTCTTCCAGACCCGTCACTGGACCGAGTATGTGTCTCTCATATGCTGCATTGTGGACGTTATCTGACTCTTTGCAGGTTCATCGGCAGCAACCAGTTCTGCTTCAAGTGGTGCAAGGATGACGGCCCGAACGCGGCCGGCAAGTGCCAGCACACTCTTGATCGTATCGGTCTTGCGTACAACTGCCCCAGCAAGTACACCGTTGGTGCGGGCCAAGCCGATGGCGAGTTCGAAGTCTGCGACTCGGACTCCTTCCCCATCCCTGGTGTCTACACCGACGCCGCGGGTGCCACTCAGTCGTACGCTCAGCCCCCCGAGTCCCAAGGCGCCATCACCTCGATCCCCTACGACCCCACGGCCGCGGCGACGCGCGCCTGCACAACCTTCGCCTCTGCCGCCCTCTTTACCGATGCCGTCGCTGCGCCGTCCAGTGGTACGTCCGCCGGCACCACTACCGGCGCTCCCAGCACCAAGACCAACGGTGTTTCCACCACGAAGAGCAGCAGTGGCTCGAACCCCACCAGCTCGTCCTCTTCGAAGACCAACGGCACCAGCAGCGCCTCCGGCGCCATCCCCGCCGCCGATGCCCTCCCGATGTCGCTCTTCGCAACTGTCATCGGTGTGCTCTCCGCAATTGCCATGTTCGCGTAGATACCCTACGGTATGCTGGCTGGTGATGTCGCAATTAACTTGCATGATCATGGACTTTGTTTCACGGTTTTCTCTACGTGTGGGTCTCTCTATCTCGGACTTTGACTTCGTGCCTGCGTTGCGGCGGCACCCCCAAGTACACTATTACCCTTATCACGATCCCCCGGGTTCCTCGTTCACCGACTTGGCGACCGACATCACCTGCTTGTTGCGGTTCTGTTCCGATGCGGCGTCAAGTCGCCGAGTGTGAGCTGAGCGCGTGTGGCAGGACGGACGATCAACGCCTCGAATTCCTCGTCGCTCCATTGGCTGGTCGATCTCGTTCAGGGCACATGTTGGTGAGTGCGGACACCAGCAAACGTGACAAGACGTGACAACGGCTTCACGTCGCGCGCACTGGGGCACCGGTACTTATGTACCTCTCTTTGAAGATTCGGCCGGCTCGCTGGACTGTTAGAACATCTTAGCGTCCTTCGCCTTGTCGCGACAAGCAGTAATTGTGTCGAAAGGTGCGAGAGATGGCGCCCCCACACGTCTGCCGTCGAGCACCAGCGAGCACCGCCCCGCGGAGAGGGCCACCGCGGGCGAGCTCCCGAGTGAGCAGGCACCCGGCTCGCATTCTGACCAGTCCGCCGCGGCGCGTCAGATCTTCAGACGTCAATACGACGTCGATCTCGAGGCGTCGACAGTTCGGAGCACAGTTCGGAGAGCCGGCGTGACTTCATTCCCGCTCCCGCCTGCGGGGGGCCGATGGACCTGCGCGTCGAAAAATCTCGTATACAGTACAGCGAAACACATACAGCACCTCCCATCTGCACGTCCCATGCTCCAACGTCGGACCGCATTCTTGCGCATGCCGCGAGCTCGCCGGGCTCACATATCAAACTTCGAGCGTGACCTGTCGACGCGAGCGAAGGTGAGCAAAGCACGCCTGGCCAGCCTCCCGAACGGAAGGGCGCGCGGCCCGCACTCACGCCGTCGATCGCCCCGTCGATCTCCGTCTGCAGCGTCGCCGCCACCTCGCCCACCGCGCGCACGAGGCCCGCGAGGTGGCCCGCCCGCGCGGGCGGCCACGCCTGCGCCTGCGCCTCGGGGGACGCGAGCAGCGCGCCGGCGGCGTACGCGCTCGCCACGGGCGCCCAGGGCGCCCGGGTGCCCTCCGCGACCGCCTTTCCGTCCCTCTCGAGCAACGCGCACAGCCATGTCTCCGCCGTCTTCAACACGCTCTCCGGGGTGCGTGTGGCCGGCGGCCGCGCTGTCCGTGTCGCCTGGGGGGCCGGTGACGCATAGAAATCGGCAATGGAGTCGGCGGGGATGGTCGGAGCGGGGGCGGGGGCGGGCGGGCGAGCCACAGCGCTCGGCGCCGCGAGCACGGCCGCGAGTGCTTCCCGCCAGCGCGCCGCCGCGAGCGTGTACTTGGCCGCGACCGCCCGCGCGCACGCGGCGTGGTACGTGAGCAGGTGGTGGTACGCGCGGGCGGGCGCGGCGTCCATCGCGCTGGTGTAGACCCCCTCGAGCCGCTTGGAGAGCGTGTGCCGCGCAGCGATGCGTAGGAGGTTGGCGCCGAGCTTGTACCGCGCGCCGTGCAGGTATGCGTCGAGCGGTGTGGCAGCGGCGAGGCGGCGCCAGCACGCCTCCGCGGCCTTGGCGAGGCTGGGCAGAGGAGTGCGCTGGGCGACGGAGAGGACAGCGGAGAGGCGGGCGAGGTCCGCGGTGAGGGCGTCACCGCAGGTGTAGAAGAAGCGCAGGACCTCCTCGGCGGTGCCGGGGTCCATGTCGATGTGCACGGTGGAGCCAGGCGCAGTGGTTTTAACGAGCGAGGGGGCGTGAAGTTTGAGGATGAGGTGGTGGACGTGGAAGACGGCGCCGCCCAGGCATTGTAACGTACAGTCGGCTGGAGGATCGTCTGGGATAAAATTCGAGGCGCAGTCCGTAGGCGAGGCACTGAAAGGCACGGGAGTCTGGTTGGTTTGCACAGGAGGATGCGCTTGCCGAGGCGTCCGCTGCCCAAAAAGCCAGTCGATGGAAAATTTGACCTTGATGTCCTGGCGAAGGTGGAAGTACTGTCCGGCGGTGGTGCCTTCAAGGATTCCAAAACCTTCGCTCTGCAGCATACTCTCCAGGTTGGGAAGTCCTGTGCCTCGCATCGCCGCCGCAGCGTATTGCTGGGTCTGCTCGAGGTGGCAGCGAACGCCGATGACCCAGACAAATAGGGGACGTAAGTGTGCACCTGCTCGAAGCTTGTCAATCATGTAAGTAACAGGCCACTCCATCTCGTATTTCTGAGCAGCTTTGATAACGGGGATTGTGTCTTCAAGCTTGGAGAAGTTTTGTTTGTTCGTTGGGTAGCAGAGGAACAGCAAGTAACGCCAGGTTTGAGCGTCTTCGGCGACGTCGACGACGGGCAATAGGTCTCGTTCCTGCTCTCGAGGCTGTGGCAGAGTAAGCATGTCTGCGAAGACGGGAGAGGCTTCGGCGAGAATGTGCTGGTGGACACGGAAATCGACAAGATCTGATGAGCGGATAATGAGGTTCGTAGAGGGTTTGTCGAACGGCGGACCACTGGGAGTGGGTACACGACTTCCTTGGGATGGAGAAGACGGATTGGCAGACATGGTGTTCGGTGTGGAAGTTAGCACGAACAAGGAGAGATCTACATCAGCAAAAGGTGTTTTTAACGGTAGCGCCCGATAGCACGCGACACTGCCATATCGGGACAGGTCGTCTATTGTCTGCGCGACAAATGATGGTAGCAGAACGGTAGCAGCTGATATTCATTCATCTTTACTATGAGGTTCGATCAAATCTTGTGGCCGCAGACAGGATATGATGGATCTACTACAGGCACAAGTAGCTTGAACAGAAAGCTGTAGTCGATGATAGTAGACGATCATGCGCTCCTTCAAGGGTGAATCACGGGGCGCGCGAGGTGCACAAGAGGTTTGTATTAGCTATACGGTCGGCTCGTAAGGACGCGAACACTGCGCGCGGCGGAGAACGCGATGCGCGCGAGGATATGCGGACGGACGTCAGCGCGGGCGCCTGTTCCTCTTACGCGCCGCGCGCGGAGGCCTCTGTCCAGCATCGACGGCGAGCCCATCCTCTGCTCCCCCAATATTTCCTGACGCCTTTCCTCCCTTTCGTTGATCTCTGGCTCCTCTTTTTGATACGCGAATGCTCTTCTTCATCAGAATGTCTGCTTCTTTGGGATACGCGATCCGAACGCGGAACATCGAGTCGCCGGCGGCGGGCGCCGTGAAGTTCTTGCTCACTTGAGCATTGTCTCGGCCTTTCACATTCCGTCTGGGATCATTTCCGTTTACCAATGTGCATAAGGTGTGCTTCTATGGCTTGTTCTCCATTAGGTGCGCACTTCATAAGCTGAAGCGACCCAGTCCCCAAACAGCGGGGCGGGCAGCCTCAAGTGTTCATCGCACAGAGAACGAATTCCTCACCCTCACGGTGGCGCAATATGTGCGGGAGAAAAACTGGGACACTCCCCTGGAGGACCTCGACCTTCCGCACGACACTTACATGCGAGCGCGAGCTCGTGAACTGGAGCAAGGCCTACTCCGTGGACCACCGCTACGAGAGTCAGCGGAGCGCTCTGTTCGATGCTCTCGTTGTCACGAGCTGCGCGGCAAACTCCCGCACAGGGCACTGGGCGAGGGATCGAGAGTTAAGTCAAGATATATACATCGCTGGGGCCCGAGACGTACAGAGGTCCGTGTTAGTAGTGACATTCTGAGGTCTAAAAGTTGCTTACGGTGATTTCTTTGCTAATTGTTGTGACCCGATGCGGCAGCACCGCAGTGGCGTCCCGCTTTGGCCTCTCTATTGTTTCCAGACACGGGCGCGTGTGCTGGGTTGCGCGCCTACTGGGCTTTATCCGCGACCACCATCATCCCCCAAGCGCAATGTGCCACTCACACTCGCGCGCGATGTATCAAGACACGGTCAGTTCTTCCTCATTCATCAGCATCTCACTCACGTACACACTTCTGTCAACATCGACATCGACATGGCTTTTGACACCGCACTCACACCGGCGAAAACCCGCGCCCTCAAGACTGCGGGTACAAAGGTACGCTTGAGTACTCATGTTGCTTACGGCCACGGGTCAGTCACATGTGAGGCCTGATTCCTTAGCCTCGCCGACAGTTTCGACGCGGCGCCGCGCGCTCCCACACGAGCCAGCGACCCAACACTGACCATTCGCTTGCCATTGGGGATTCAAGGCGATGTGGAGGTGATGCGGCAGCCACCGGCTCCGTGGGAGCACGGTGTACAGGTATGTCTTCAGAACGTCCGAGCGCGGCAGGCGAGCAGGATATCACGGTGCACCGCATGGTCGAGCCCACGCATCCTGAGCTCCTGCTGCTAGATCTGCGCGCGACCGCTTCCGGTAGGCGTTGCTGAACGCGCGCGACGCGTCCACCCCGAGCAGCCGCCCGTTCTGCAGAGGCAGCGGCTCACTGGTTTGTGTCCCTCTTCCTTCTATACCGAGATCGATTCTGCAGCCGCTCATTCCGCCAAGTTCACAGCGGCCTCGACCGACGAGTCACAGTACTCGCACTTCACCTGGGCGATTGCCCCGCGCAAGCAGCGGTCTCGAGTCGGCCCACATGTCCGTCTCCCACCACTACTGTGTCCTCATCGAGGACGAGGGGATCGCCCTCTGTGGGCTCCTCATTATCGACCCTATAGGGTACCCTCAGGTACGTCCTTGGTGGAGCAGCATACGTCTGGGAATCACGGCTGATTGTGCGTTCGGTGGAGCTGGACAAGCAAATTACGATCAACGACCTCCCCGTGGGCCGCTCTGTCGAGGGGACGATCCGGGCATTCCAGTTCTCCCGGGTGCGTCTCTCTTCCTCCGCGTTCCCTGTGGCCGCTCCCACTGACTTCTCCCGCCTCCCTCCCCCTTCCCCGACCCGACGATCCACGCTCAAGGCGACCACCTCTCCACGCCCAACCAATTCACCCTTTCGCGCCCATGGCGCCCCTCCATGCCCAACCTGTCTATCTTGCCGCGCTCAACCGAGCTTTCCGCGCTCTCCACCCCAGATACGAAATTTCTACATTACTGACCACTCCGATAGTACTCACGATAGGGAACACTCCCTCAATTCGGGGAGACGTGCTGGTCGAGAGGCTTCAAGCTCAGCCACATCGCCGACCATGTAAGTTCTTTGTTCCGCTCATGTGTCCGTTGCGTAGAATACCGGCTGTTTCGTATTTACCCCGAATGGATTATTGTGCGATTGGAATTATGGGTGCGCCCCAGTGTGCGACGGAAGGCGATAGTGTTCCGCAGTTATCTGTCATCTCCTCCGCCAACTCTGACCTCTTATCGTGTACCGCTATCATCTGATGCGCCGCAGATGACCGGTATATGGTCGCGCGCGCACCCAGAACTGATAGCACTGTCCGCGAGATACGATCATCATTTGATAGTGGAAGAAGCAGACGATAGTACACTACGAGTTACTGCATTACTTGGATGCTCAGCTACTGTCTATTGTCTTCGCTATCACTAACTATCGTACGCTACGAATGCCCCCGTGCACTATCAGACGCTACCGTTTCCGCGCCCACTTTGCTGATGTAAGCCTCGGATGCGTCGACGTCAGCTCATATGATTACATAATCTGCTTGCTCTTTGTCCCTTATCTTGATCAGTCTGAACCATGACCCTGACTACGACTTTCCTCACTGAATTCAATACCTTTCCTCATCCCATAACTGGTGTTATAGATCGTTGGGATTCAGTGGCCTGCCGCGACTGCAAGCTCACAGGCACCTTTCGTACGTGACTCAATTCTCAAGTACTTCTGCACCGTTGATCAATGAAGAACAGAGAGGATCCCCTTGGAGTCCGCTCGTTTGCGAACTGAACGGCACCGATCTAGAGCTATAACCAAGATAAATCCCTACCCCCACACGTTGCCACTCCGCGCAGGAGAAGGACAATGTATTCGCATTGTCTACGCGACCAAAACGCCCCGTGTCGCGTTGCTGCACGCGTCGTCCACGTTCGGTCGCATGTCTTCTCTCGCCCCGTATGTATGGCTGCAACAAAGAGGATATGCATAATCTAGCCAGCATGTACGAGGTCGAGTCATACCATGGGTGTAAGCGACTTCCTCGAGAAACGTAGGATACCTGTCCCACAGTCCGTTATCTGGCGTGCGATTTCAAATTCATCTCCGAAAACGGATTGGGATGATTCACGATCCCTACGCGCATTTCATCATAATACTCAGGGAAGCCGCAAGATTGCGGTCATCATCACTCACAACTTGATTCAGGGTAGGTTTGTTTCACGATTTATCGCGTCGTCTGTCTTTCGACTCACGATCTCTGGCGACCTGATACCTGGACACAAGACAAACCACTTAGCCCCCCCGCCGTCGCATATTACGCCCAGACCGTGGCACTTCCTCGTCTCGCCAATTCCCGATCCACTTGCCGATGTAGTCCGCCTCAAATATGACTGACAAAGCCAACAATCAGTGAGCAGCGTGAGCATGTTGACGAATACCAGAGTTTGCAACCTCGGTGTATGTAATGTGTTCATTAATGCCACCGGGATAGCTGACGGACAATGGGAAGTTCGAACAAGGTATATATACTGGAGCCCGGCACCGTCGTCCTTCCAACACTCCCGCAACTCACAACCTTGCCTTCACACCTCAAACTTCCCTATGCAACTGCCACCGCCACAGTCATCAGCACGCGCGACGTCCCTACGACCCTCAACTACTACGCCCCGATCGGTACCGAGGAGCCGTACCAGTACGCGCTGGACCCGCCCGCAGGCAAGCTTCCGAACAACATCGGCGCCGACACGCACCCGGTCACCGTCCGCGACGCCCGCGGACGCGAGGACGAGTTCGGACTCCTCGACAAGAGCGGCTTCCAGTTGGTCAAGTGGCCGAGCGTCGAGAGCGAGTTCGACGACGAGGAGCGCATCAAGGCACAGTACTACCCCGAGGTCGAGGAGCTGCTCAAGAAGGTCACGGGCGCGAAGCGCGTCTTCCTCTTCAGGTGAGTGCACCTGAGCTCAAGCGCGTACGTTCGGTAGTGCTGATCGCCTTTTCGTCCCTCCAGGCCCAAGCCTGACGAGAACGCCAAGCCCGGCCCGCAGAACCGTGGCCCCGTCGTACGTTCCTTTTGCTGCTGTCTTCCATCCATCCTCGAGCTCACTGTCGCTACAGGAGCGCGTGCACATCGACCAGACGCCCAACGCCAGCGTCGACCGTGTCAAGTACCACCTCCCCGAAGAGGCCGACCGCCTGCTCAAGTCGCGCGTCCGGATCATCAACGTCTGGCGGCTGATCCACCACCCCGTCGCGCACAACCCGCTCGCGGTGTCCGACTGGCGCCACCTCGACGAGAGGGACCTCGTGAAGGCGAACTTCATCTACCCGGACCGGAACGGGGAGACGTACATGGTGTGGTACAGCGCGGGGCACCGGTGGTGCTACCTCGCGGACCAGACGCCCGAGGAGGTGACGCTGATCAAGTGCTACGACTCGGAGGAGGACCGGGCGCGGCTCACGCCGCACTCGGCGTTCTCGGACGCGGGCGCACCGGAGAGCGCGCCGCACCGGGAGTCGATCGAGGTGCGCGCGCTCGTCTTCGACTCGGAGTCAACGGACAGCGGAGGAGAATCAGAGTAATGGAGGACGACATGGATTCTGACGCCCCGCTGAGGATCAAGGGTACCTGGATATGCTGTATTTCGGCCGGAACATAGATAGACGTGTTACTTGACATGCCCCTCCTGTGCGAACACGAGCCGTTTCGCATGCATAGCTTGGCCTAGTCAGCGTCAGCACTGGTATAACTGTTGGCAGACCGAATCTTGCCCCAGCAATCGCTTCGGCTACGCTGTCCCGCACCGTCTCGGAGAGCTTCAGCGAGAGCGACGAACCCGTTGCGGTAGTAGTACCCTTCCTCTTACCTTCCGCTGAAGCGAGCAGCGCGCCCATGCTATACGTCGACGCGCCCGCGCCCGCCCCAGGGCCCAGGCCCCGCGTCCCGTTTTCGGTGCTCGTGCTCCGGCATCCACTTGCATGTGGAGGCTCCATGCCGTCCCTCCACTTCCCCCTCGCGGGCGCGAGCTCCGCCGACACCGCGCACCCGCACGCCATGTGGGACAGTGGTAGGCCGTCGTAGGCATGCCTTGAGCGGCGTCTCCGGATCCAGGTCGAAGAGGGGGTCCAATTGCTTTGAGGTCTAGAAGCTGCCCAAGCTAGAGGGCGTACTGCCAGTGCGACTTGCGCTCGAGCTGACTGACGGAGATCGAAGCATCGCCGGCAGTGACATGTTCTAGAGCTTTTGAATCATCGGCTTGTAGTAGGCTCTCGAGCTTCTCCATCCCGCCCGCAGAGATCTTTCCCGTGGCTCTCTGCTCCACCGCCCCTAGGATGCAGAGTTCAGCGCGGCCGATAGACGGAGTGTGTGGGAGAGCACGTAGGACTGGAGGTGCGCGACGAGGATTGAAGCAATGGGACATTCCATTTCCATGCCGTCTTTCTGCGCGGCTGCCAAAACCGGTCCCATGTCCTTCGGCTGTCGATACCTCAGTGACTGACAGCACTGTGGGAGAAGCGAGCGCCCGCCGCGGCGTCTTGTTATCCTCGGAGACGTCTATAGAGGGCAATATTCTGCGAGTGAGGCCTGAATCCTCGTAGGGGGGCTGCATGAACATTTCCGCGAAGACGGGCGACGCTTTTGCGATGGACGCAATAAGACTCGGTGAGATCGGCAGGTGATGAAGGTGGTGGTATTGCCAGGGTTTGTCGAACAGATGTCTCGCTGACCACCACCTCTGCGGCTTTCGGTGGTAATACCTGAAAATATTGGGCATGAAGACTCGACAGCGCGCAGACACAGAGACCTACTTACCATGGTGGTAAAGAGTCAAAATTCGTGTGGTGACGTGGGCGGCAATGGCGGCCCGGCTCGGAACAAGCCGTGCGTATTCTGGCACCCACCCTTGAGATCTTGAGAACCGCGGCCCTTCGCCACCACCACTATCGTCAACAACCACCGATATCCCTCTCATACATTTATCTTGCGAGCTTTTCTTCTCATAAAGAGGCCCGAGATATGTCTCACGCATCACGTACCGCCAATCGTATCTAGAAAGTCGGCACGCTGAGATTAGTATAAGTATGCTCGCGCAGGTATGCCACATCTTACCCTTTCAGCTCAGCTCACCTCTTCGGGGACAGGAAAAACAGTGGAAATGAACTCGCATTTCCCCCACGGAATACTCTCGCCCCTTCCTCAACCACAATACCCTAAGCTTTGGCACGCGGGGCGTATGACACTCTCCGGGATCCAGAGCCACGCCGAGACCGACAGTGCCAACGTCGCTGCACCGAATGGGAACCAACCAAAACCTGGAGCCCGATTATCAGCCAGGTCGCGCACACACCCCTCGCGGTGTCGAGCCAGCGCAATATTCCCCGCACTGCTCTTCTTTCGGGACCGCGTCGGCGGCACATTCAGCACCAAATTTCGCCGTCGCGCATCGGTGGAGGTACCTCGCGGACCAGAGGTTGGAGGAGATGACACATCGAGTGGACGCGAAGGACGGGGAGGGCCCAGCGCTCGCGACGCCGCACTCGGCGTCCGTGGACCCTTGCGTCCACCGTACTTAGGTTCGGCCACTGGAAAGCAGGTCGTTTGTTTGGAAATGACTTGATCATCGTTCCTAACGAGATCGCCTTTCGTGCCGCGTCATGACCGCTCACTGTTCTGCCGAAAATCACCGTTCAACTTGCCACACGTCGCAGGGGCCGCAACTTCGAGCACCGACGGCCGCCCACCGCAGCCACACTCCGCACCCCGACCTCGTAAACAATACCTCGGTCCCCGCCCCCCGTCCTCCCGACGCCCGGCCCCGAACACGGGTTCAACCACACGCCGATCGACAGGATCGCGTAACCGCCAGCGATCCCCTGTCCAGGCGCAAACGGTCACGGGAGCGGCGCGGCGCGTCAGACGATCGGGCGTGCCTCCGAAGCGTGCCCGCTCGCCTGTACGTGCACGGGTGGCCGAAACGTGGGGGTGCGCATGTGGGGCGTACATATGCGTCCACACCTCGTCGGGGCGGGTTGATGGCCCCCGCGCGCGTGACCGCGCCTTCCGAGGGTCCGGGCGGCGCGTGGGGGACCCGGGAGGGTGTCGATGACGTTTGGGTGCGAGGACAAAAGGGAGAGTCATGGCACAGCTGTGCACGCGGGGGTGCGAGGGTGCGCATGATAGTTTGGAGCTGTGCCGGGCGTCGGCGAGTACGTACGTGCGTACGTCTTCGTGGCAGAGGCCGGCGGGAGCGCGTCCCGCTCCGAGCTGCGGCCTGCAGGCTTAACCCCCGTGAGCAGTCAGGTGCGCCCCCGGGTCGCCAGCGTGCGCCCTTGGCGACGGCCGGGCGATGCGCAGTGGGCCGTGGTGCGTGGGGTTGTCTGGGGTTGTTCACCCGCGGATGGGCCGGCGTCCGTCCCGACCTTCCGCCCCGCTAGCACCCTTCCGGTCGCGATTGACCCCGACGCGACGCCTTGCCAAACCGGTCGCTCGCAGGTACGCTCGCGGGCGACGAAACGCAAGATCGACAGAGGAGATCCAAGGTTAGGAGTGAAACATACAGTGCGAGGTGCCCGAGGGGTGTCCGGCACCCCTCTCCGTCACCGTACGGCGCCATGTCGATCGTCTCGAGTAGATATCACGGGCGCGCGAGCGCGGCCTGCGGGCGGGACTCGGGAGTCGGCGCCAAGTGGCGGGCGCGATCGCGGTGCGTGTCGCGCGCCGCGAGATCCCCAGAGCATTCGCGTTCTCCGGACGCAGGGCCGGGTTGCCGGGCGGTGGGATCGCCGGAAGGGCGTTCGTGCGGTGGAGGCCCTTGATGGGGGTCGGAGTTCGTGATCGGGGTAGGGGAAGCAGGGAGACGCACATGTGGGTGAGGAATCCCCGGCTGGAGCCTGGAGTGCGCGCAATCAATCAATGAGCATTCTGCGTCCTGACGCGGATGTGACGGGGAATAGGATGACGACGGTCGGAGAGGACGTCGGGGCGCGCAAGGGACACGGCGCGAAGCCAGGGAGAAGGTCAGAGAGAAGGTCAGAGTTTGGCATGGGGAAGGAGATGCTGCGAGGTGCTGGGCGCTGGGCAACGAACGTTGTTCGCCCACCGCGGGGAATCAGTGCTTGCGGCACAGGACATATGGTCAGCAGCGGCGAGCGCAATCTGCCGGCGAAACCTGTTTGCGATGGAAGGAACGCCGGATGTCGGGAGCCAACTTCGGATCGTCTCCCGCAATGATCCAGTTCCTAGAGAGGCGATACGTGAGCTGCAGGTTCGCTACAGTCACCTGGTCTTCCGTTCGAAGGCATCGTACTGTTGGGATTGTAGCACCGATGGGAACACCGCCTTTGATGGCTGTCCCGTGTGTCTGGCGCGAGCGAAGAGCCCAACCTTCGCGGTCGTCGGACGATTAGAGATCGAGGCCGGTGCTTCAGCCCGGTCAACACCAATCGCGGGTACGAGTCGAGATCCGGCTTACCCAACGCGAGCTCCGAGAGCGGCTCGCCCCTCTGGCTCCGTGCTGGGCATGGGCCCCGCAGATGCAGAAGGGGCGAGTCCCATGGGCGAGCGTGGGCGCGGGTGGCAAGCGAGGTCAGCTGACGGGGCGGCGCAGCAGCGCGGGGGCTGCGAGGGCGGGCATGAGAATGCGAAACGGGTCTCGCAGCCGCTCGAGGCGGCAGGCGGTTGCCAGACGGAGGGCGAGAAGGCGGGGAAGGTGCGAACGGCCATCTGCCGAGAGGAGGTGCCCCGCGTTCGCAGACACGCTTACGGCACCCGTGCGGGGTCGGTGCAGGGTGGCGCGGCGGAGGCATGGCGGGCGCGTGGTGGCACGAGAGCAGCCCGCGGTCGATGGGTGCACCTCGGAGGCGGAGGGGTCCGGGCGGACCGCGCTGGGGCGACTCGTGAGCTGAGCCAGGCCGGAGCGCGGACTGGGTGCTGGTGGGCGAGTGGCGGGTTGGAGGCCGCCCGGGTGGAATATATGCGCTCTCGCTGGGGACAAACATCGATCTCTGACCGAATCGATGGCAAATTTGGCGGACGAGCGTGTGCGGGAGGCACCGCCGGCCGGAGCCCACTTCCCGGCAGCATCCAGCACGTGGGCCCCGGTGTCTCGGGCGAGTGCGGGCGGACCCTCCATCACCGCCAACGAGCTCTCCACCGCGCCCTTGCCCGCGCGCCAGCACCCGTCCGCCTTCTCATCCCAACCGCCATCCATGGCCACCCCCGCCTGTTAGGCCGCAGCCCTCCCTCGTCCACCCAAGGCTCCCCCGCGGCCCAGTGCCCGCCCTTGCCCAGCCCCTAGCCTCGCTGCAAGGCCGCTCTCCATCCCTCCCCGCTCTCCCTTCCCATTCATCCACTTTCGAACCGGCCTCGCAGCCCTCCGCCCCTCTTCTTTTCCTCCTTCTGCCCCCCTTTCCAATGACAATGCCCGTCCCCCCAACCCTCACGAGCTACCTCCCCGTCCTCCTCGTCTCCGTCACCCGCAACGCCGTCCCTGACGACTCGTCCTTCGATACCCAGCCCGAAGGCCAGGTCGACTACCTCTCCCATGACTGGAAGGAGGAGGACGTGTGGCGTTCTTGGCGCAGTATGACCCGCCAGAAGAACGCCATCGCCAACGGGATGCGTCTGGAGAACGCGAGCTGGCGCACCTGGTGGAAGCAGCGCAACAACCTCAAGACAATCAGCCCCGAGACTCTCAATTGGTGTGTTCCTTATATCCTTCCACACCCTTCATCTCCCGTATCGTGTCCCACAAACATGAGGAGCTGCTACGCGTCCGATAACGCTCCTCATGCTCTCTCCCAATGCCCCTTCCGTGCCCCTTCTGTGTGCTGACCTGCTCTCAGGCTCAAAGACTCGGACGTCACTTGGCTCTACGGGCCTCTTCACATCGGCAACGACTGGACGGATTACTCCCAACGCAAGCTCCCCAAGGGTCTCGCCGCCATCCAGCGTAAGACAAGCACCGACGCGCTCCCGGGCCCGTACAAGATCAATACCACCCCCACCGCTCAGCCCACAAAGCCTATCCTCAAACGCCGTAGCATCAGTCAGCTGCTTTCCCTCCCCGCAAGTTCCTTCTTTGCCCAGTGCGACAGCGACGAGGAGGATTGCGATTACCTTCAGATCGAGCCATGCAGTGGTACGCCCTCTTCACGACCGAGTCTCGTTCACACCAGGAGCGACTCGCACATCGCCGTCCGCGGCCGCCCATACCGCAAGGTTTCGCCCCCTCGCATCATCGCAGAGGAAGTAGAGCCCGTCGTGAGCCTCTCCGCACCGTCACAGGCCCCTGCCTCAAGCGACGCGTCAGGCTCCGCAGGGAGCGACCAGGATCTTAGCGGGCAGTCGAGCACCGAAGGCCCAGTCAAGAAGAAGCACATCAGCTTCAACACGTTTGTGGAGCAGTGCATCGCGATCGAGAAGCCCAAGCCCATGCGTTCCTCGACTGGTTCGTCGCGCGGCAGCAGGGTGTTCGACGCATACGATGATGGGTCAGTGGCACACCCTCCTACGGCGACTGCTACTGACCACTGCCACTCGCACCTCACCCTTCTCAGGTACGACTCTGAGCTCGGGTACGATGGCGAGTTTGACGAGCCTGCGCTCTACTACTTCAATGATAACGCTGTCATCGGCTCCGACTCTGAGGACGAGGACGATGACGATGGCCTCATTATGCAGACCGCCTCCTCCCGGTCCCGGACGAACTCGATATCGTCAATACGCAAAGCGTCGATGGCGTCCACGCTCACTCTGGATCCTTCTGCGCCTTCACGTCCTCGACCCCCTCTGGTTCGCCGCGCTTCAACAGATAGGGAACACTTCACCATCGCGCCCATCGCGCCAACGCTGTTGAAAAGCACTGGAGTCGGCAACGAGCTCATGCCATTACGGGAAGGCAAGGCCCTCGACTCGCCGAATGACGTTGATCTCGTCTACGTGCCCAACGCCGGTCACTTCGGCGTGTCGGGTACCCCCAGCCATGAGGACGTCTACCACCACCGCGAATCTTACTTCAGCGTCGGCACCACCCGGTCGTACCCCCGCTCTCCACTCCCCCGATCTCCCGCCCCCGGCTCTTCCCCACACATGCCTAGCGTTGGTATGCCGCCCGAACAGTCGCAGGGCGTGCCAATAGCGCGGAACACATCCGAGACGTTCTTCGCTTCCCATCAGGTGAACGAGTCTCCGATGGACATCGACGATTCACCTGTCGAAGGCGCCTACGACTACTTCGGTGGCCCCGACCTTGGAGAAGATTTCAGCTACCCTCACGGTCAACGGAGAGTACGGAGAGGTGACGTTCGGAATGATGACAGCGAGGTGGTGCGGTATTCTGAGGATGGTGCGGCCAGCGCAGGTATCGAGAGGAATGACAGCTGGAGACCAAGTCCTGCCGACTCTCCCAGTGGCGGCAACGTGGACATGCCTGTGGTGGTCGTGAACGAGGTCAACGGTGCGGTTGAAGAGCGGCAAGAGCGTTCGCGCGAGAGCAGTCCTTCGCGCTCACCTCAGCTTCGCCGGCTACCAGAGCCACAACCGGACCTTGCGTCTTCCCCATCATTAACTACCTCCGCCGCTATCCCCGTCCCCATGCATCGCCCGTCCCCATACACGCACATCGCTTCGTCGGCTTCCGCAACTGTCACTCATCAGTCAATGCCTCCGTCAAGTATCTGCGCCGACTCCTCCCTCCTTTCCCCGCCCGACATGGACTCTGCTCGTGGCCGCACAATACATGTCTCGCCCTCGGTCAGCGGCAGCACGACCACCGGCTCCTCATCCTATCACTCCTCCGACTCTCGCTCGGGCTCGTCCTCCCGTGGACGGTCATCGACGCGCAACTCGTCGTTCTCTGACCGCGAACGGTCGGGGAGCCAGGGTGAAAGCCGCTCAAGGAGTCGTAGTCGCGGGACGAGCTCGCCTCTCGGCAGCATCTCTCCCACCGGGAGCGCCATCGGCATCGTCGCCACATCTGGGGCGGTCATCGTGGGCGGTCGCACCCGCGGGCGGGACGCAGACCGCTCGGGTCGCAGGAAAGGCAGCGAAGAGGAGCGCGGAAGGGAGCGCGCGGGCCGCCGGCTGGAGAACGGTGCGAGCGCGAGCATGAGCCCGCCCAGTCTCGTCTCCTCCCCTGCACGCGGCAACTCGGACGAAAGCCCGGTGTTCCAGTCGTACTCCCCGTCGCTCGTCGCGCGCTCGGGCTCCGGCAAGTCCGTGCCCAGTCCGCCGTCGTCGGTTTCGGGCTCGAGCACGGAGACGGCGAGCGTGTCGACGATCGGCCCTGGGGATGTGCAGGCAGGTATGACCACTCCTACTGCAGCCTCATGGACTTCAGCTACGCCTCAGACGGAGGACGCCGACAATTCGAAGATGTCAGTGGAGCTCGCCACGCCGAAGAAGCCAACCCTGCCGTCCCCGATCGAGGAGGAAGAAGAGGAGGAAGAGACGCTCCGGTCAAGACAGCCCACGCCCGCGAACTCCCCCGTCGCTGCGTTCCGAATCGCAGTGCCCCCCGCTCAGAAGGCGGCCCCCGTGTCGTCGCCCGTGTCTGCTTCCCACGAGCCCTCTCCGTCAACATCCCGCACGTCGACGTCGACGTCTTTCAAGAGCACCGACGACTCCGACCCCGCGAGTCCGGTGTCTCCCGACTCGCCCAAGCGGTCGAGCGGTGGACGGCATCCGAGCAGGTCGCAACGGGTGTCATTCGACGGGATGCAGGAGCAGGCGGGGACGCTTGTCAACCGCGCGGCGGAGATCGTGCAGAGCGCAAGGGGGTTCTTGGGCTCCATCTGGAGTTCGCATCCCGGGCAGAACCAACCCGCTGCGTGAGTGCTTCCTGTGTCCTCTCCGCCACGACCTCCACGACCACATTTTGCTCCGGCTCTCTCTTCATTTATTTGAATATGCGTATGGCACGATTACATGTCACCGTCCCCGTCCCCGCCTCAATCTCCGCCGTTCATCTGTTCACGTTCGCATCTGCACATTCGCCGCAATCTCCCGTCCAGTTCATATTACACCTACATGCCCTGCGTTTTTGCACATAATCACGCCCGCCGCACGCCGCGGCCGGCGCGCTGTTCACTCGCATCCCCCCAATTACCACATTACTTGCCAGACGCCCCCTCTGGGTCTACATAGTATACCGTACGTGTATTCTCGCGCAGCCGACGTCCTGTTGTCCCGGACCATCCGTCACATGTGTAGTCTGTATCATGCGTGCTCGGGCTCCTCCCCCATCTCTCCGTCTGGTATCCAGTGTCTGGTGTTTGGTAAATGTCCTCTCTCCTCTCGCTCGTCATCCGCTCTTGGGCGCAGTCTGGTTCGCAACGGCGTTTCTCTCTTCTCCCTCTCGCACTCGCTCCCGCGGGGCCCGAGCAGCCCCGTCCCACGCACATGCAGCATCTTGCGCACGACCTCCCGCACTCACCCCCGTCCACACCCCTCACGTCCCCCCTCACCCTCCCCTCCGTACATACCGTATAGCGCGCCGCGTGCCCTGCCCCGCCCCGTCCGTGTATCCCGTACGCCCGTGTCTCCGTCCCCGTCCCCCCCGGTCTGCTCTACTACCGTCCTACGTACTAGTCTTTTTCCTCTGGCGCGCGCGCCGCCCCGGGCGCAACCCTCCGCTTGTCTTATAGATGTATTTGTGGTGTACATACTCTAGTACTCAATGGCGACCCGGTCCAAATGGCTCTCCCCTTTTTCTTTTACACGTTCCGCTCGCGTCTGCGTTCTCGAAGTGCCCTCAGATCTCGATCCTGGGCGGGAAAAGCTACAGTGGTCAGGTCACCGGCCGGCGCTCGTTCCGGACCACGAACGCGCTTCGGCGGTGCTCGACAGTGCTTGCGATGTCGTTTGATAATTAAGCTCCGGACGATCGAGCGTATGTGCCGAGACGGTGCGAGACGTTCAAAACGTTCGCGTTCACGATCAGATGCTGTGCGCTCGCGGCGCTGCAGTGGGTCCACATGTGCTGACCGCAGCGCGCCGGGCGGCAGTGCGGATAGCCTGATGGACCGGTCACCGAGGGGTTTCCCCGCTCGACGACCATGATGCGTAGCGTATCGCAGGGTGAGAACCAGTTCAGTCGACTTGCAAGGATGTGCATTGTAGACCGTCAGTCAAACAGATGATGTAGACCAAGGCCAGGATATCGGAATAGACGATCTAAAATTTGTCATATTCCGGTTATAGCCCCATTCGAACGTTGACAGTAGCCGGACCAAAAGGCAAAGTATGAGGCTCTTATGACCACCGCAGGGGTCGAACCTGCAATCTCCTGATTACCCTCTCGTAGTCAGACGCGTTGCCATTACGCCAGGCGGCCGGTGACAATGTTGAGCGATTGTTGGTGGTGTATACATGAATGTCACTGCGTTCAGCGGCATAGCTGATTAATCGATTGCTCCTTAGCACACACGTAGCGTACCGCCTACCATAGGCTCGGCCCTAAGGGCGTTAACGGGAATACAAAAAAATCGATGCTCGTGAGTCGTCGGGCCCGGAAGCTTTCCTGCTTGCCCATACATCTATGTCATGTCTGCTGATAGAATCATCTCTGCGAACCAGCACCCCCCAAAAGCAGCCGGACACCCATTCCACAAACCAAATGCTGACTGCATCATCCGTTCCGTCGACCTCGTCGAGTTCCGCGTTCATCAATGTCAGTCCGACCGTTCAGATAAGTGCTGGCACTCGCCGAGGCATCGCCCATTGTTCTCCGACATGCTCTCATTGCCACAATCCCTGATACAAAAACCGGACAACCTCAGCACCACAAGGACGCCTCCCGTCAAAAACGCCCCCGAGGACAACAAAACGCCGCGGCATCACCGCGTTGGCGCACATTGTATTGTGCACGCATGCATGATGTAGGCGCCAGTGGTCATTGTCGGTGGACGACGGACCGGAACCTTGCAACGTGGTATAGAGCGTTTATCATTTCGACGGTGCTGCGGTAGACCGGGTTGGCCAGCGCGCCAGTGGTCGTGTGGGACAAGAGGTCTCTTGAACGCCATCCTCCCTCCAAGTGCTTGCCGGGCCGAGTACCCAGTCTGTCATTTCCGTCTACTCATCCAGTGCTCATAGGATACTCACTTCGACGTGACAAGGTCGTCGCACAATGCCGCAGTCTATCGTAGACTCGCCCCTTCCTACCAAGAAACCAACTCCGCGCAAGGCTGAAGCCCCGTTCAATCGCGAAGACGCCGACTTCATCATCCGCACTAGTGACAAAGTCGACTTTTACGTTCATCGCCTCATCATCTCTCTCGGATCTGGCCTCTTTGAAGGCATGCTCGCCCTCCCGCAGCCGCAAGGGACTGATCTCAAACAGCCATTTGTGGATGTCGTGGAGGATAGCAATACCATGGACGCCTTCTTGCGCTTTCTCTACCCAGTCCAGGATCCCGCGATATCTACGTTCAAGCTCCTTCGCAGCGTCATCGAGGCGGGAAGGAAGTATGACGCGCCCCAAATTTTGGCTGAAATGCAGAAGGTGCTCGCTCACAAACAGTTCTTCTCCGGAGATCCAGTGCGGGTCTTCGCTATCGCCTGTCTCTTCAATATGGAAGAACTGGCCCAGGATGCGGCGATCGAGGCAGTTGTCACTGGGCGCGTACTAATAGGACATAAGTGCGAAGACTTGGACGATATCCCGGCGGCATCGTATCATCGTCTTCTACAACTCAACAAGAGACCAGTGTCGAAGGTGAAGGGGAAGGCTGCGACTGTGGATCCCTCAAAAATTGGCCCATTTTGCGGCCGAGCGGTCCTCCCTCATCCTCCACCGATCTTCACTACTAGAAGACCGCCCCAGGAGGTTGCTTCCGAATTTGCGTTAGCTCCGGCATCCCACCCGCCAGATCTCGTCCTCAAGACGAACGACGACCATTCGTTTCTCGTGCATGAAGTTATCATCCGATTTGCCTCCCCATCCCTTCTCTCCAACCTTTCACCAGTCGATACCGTCGGCCAATCATCTAATGACATTCCAGACACGCCGAAAATTCCTACCTATATCATTCCTGAACCCGCCGATGTTACCCGTGTCCTCCTTAAGTGGTGCTACCCCTCTTCTCCTTCTCCCCCAGCAATAACCGGAAAACGTTACCTCGACATCCTCCGCGCCACCAGGAAATATAGTTTTTACAAAGCCGAAGCAGACCTGCGCTCGACGTGGGACCGCTACATGATATCGGCACCGCTTGAATTCTTCTTCGCCGCAGCGCAGTGGGGCTGGCAGGAGGAGGCGCAGGCGTGCGCGCGCGAGCTCATCGACACCAAGGACGACCTGGCGGACATCGAGAAACTCTACACATCCGAAATGGAGACGATCACGGCCGATGTCTACCGAAGCCTGCTTTCCTACGTGGACAGGTGCTCGGCTGCGGCGTCAGCGCGTATGAAGACTGGCCAGATACCGACTCTTCCCCTGCCCCCCGCCTCTGTGCGGAACAGCGCGCTGTTCACTGGCGACCGTCAAGTCCTTCCCTTGAGCACACACTGTGACTTTTCGTTGGAGAAACCCGTGTTGTATTTGGAGGAGTTGCTGCATGCGGTGCGACGGAAACCGTCAACGTTGATGGTCATCGACATGGCAAGAGGTCGTCCGGTCCAAACCGGCCCTGCTGGCGCCAAGTTTCTCGTCGCTCTTTGCCGTGCCTCCACCGGCTCGGACACCACGGAGAGGGTGATGGAGTGGGGCATGAAGTTTTTGGAAGGTTACGGGAACAGACTAAAAGATGCGTTGTCCGAGGTATGTTTGGTCTTCGTTGCTTGCCATGGATTCATGTACTCGTACGTTAACATGCACGCCGTCCAGGTAACGCTGGAACTTCCTCCCGCGCGCTGCGCTGCGTCATGAGTAGTCCCGGCTCGACAGCAAAGCGGACGTCCACCAGGTGAAGCTCATGGTGCGAGGGGTGGATACGCGTAGGCGGATGAACTTGAGCTGCAAGGAAGGCGGTCGAGAATCAATGAGGACGAGGGATACCGAGAGCACGACACATCAAGACAGCGCGACAGAATTGCGAGAGACATTTGGAGTGTACTGTATCTCGGAGCGAATCGAGACACGGTCGTATATCAAGTCGTGACAAGTGTCCCTCGCACCGGCGACGACGCCTCACACCTTCGTCCCACCGCGCATGTGCTCGAAAAACCCCATCCGGTCCCAGTCCCCAGGAGTCTGTCTCTCGCGTACCCATCCGATCCGGTCCTGCGTGAGTCTGCGACGCGGACGAAGAGCGAGCCGTCGAGCACGTCCCCCCGCGCCCGCAAGCGCGGCGAAGTCGGCGGGGACGCGCCCGCCGTAGACCGTCGCCCCGTGCAGGAGCGCGCGTGCGATCTTGCAGAGGTGCTCCGCGGGGTGGACGAGCGTGCTCTGTACGAGTGGCAGCCACAGGTTCGAGGCGGCGTCGCCGGGCGTGAGCGTGATCGCGTGCGGAACGGCGGGAGGGAGGGGTGGCACGGGGGTTGCGGTGGTCGCGGCGTAGAAGCCGGAGAGGTCGATGAAGGTGGGAAGGAATATGGACGAGGTGACGAGGTGCATGCTGCGCCGGTGTGCAGGGTGATTAGCGAGGCGTGCGAAGACGGGAGAGAATGAGGACGCACAGGAAGAAGTCGGCGTTGAACTTCTTGAACGGCGAGTTTTCGCGCGCGACCGGGCGGCTGCCGATCCTGTAGGCGATCGCGTGCGTCCGGATGAGCAGCTCGACCATGGTGGACAGGATCTCGGGCGTCGCTCTGGAGATCTGCGACTCCCGCGGCGAGCGCGTCGACAGCGTTGTCGACCTTGGTGTTGACGTACACGAAGAGCTGGCCGACGTTGAGCGGAGCGTCGAAACCTCGAGGCCAGAAGTGGAGTTTGCAGACAGGCAGCACGCCAACATCGGCATACATGGCTTATGTAACGACGTTCTGTGAAGTCCATGTTATGGAAATTGATGCGTCGCGAACAAAGACGAAACAGAGGGAGGAAATTTCAGCTAGAAGGCGTTGAACGACGGCCCTGCTGTTACAATGGATACGGAGGGGCGAGATGAGCCGCAAGGAAATGTGTGAGCTGGAACACCATACTCGTGTGGAGTATATGAGGTGCCAACGTTAAACTGAAGAGAAGTTAGCGACATACTCTGCCAGTATAGCCCCCGTTGAGCAGATGTCTTGGGAATGGAATAGCCCTGATATGTTTGCCGGAGTTCATGATGACCCGAGAAAGTACTACAACAGAAAAACTTCAGGGGCCATAGACATGTCGTCAGAACGATATGGTACTCACCCGCAGGCTCACAGTGCGAGGGGGACGTCGCACAGACACCCATCAGCTCGGCACCTGATCTGGCGGAGAGATGGATAGCTTCTTAGCTTTCCAAGCACACTTGGCAATATCAGTTGCAGTGAGATTGGATTCGGGAACCGGGCGCCATGTAAGGGTATGATAAGAGCAGTATCATTGTGGGTGCTGAGTGGGACAGCCTAGGACTAGTCCATCGACTTCTTCTACCGCTTCCCACACACCTACACCACGGTGAGCGAACCTCCGACCCATGATGCATGAACGCTGCCAGATCCACGCGGTGCATCGCAGACGGCGCGCCAGACCTTCTGCGACACTTCGCTTGACGTGGTGCTCGGGAGGCGAGGCAGGCTGCATGGCCACTGGTGGACGTACTGCGTGGAACTCCGAGGCCGCGGGACTTCCAAGTTCCAGAGGACAGTCACAAACCCGTTCGAAGGTCGACGCTCCGCCCGGACACGCGCTCCGACGCCGTTCCGTTCAACAGAAGACGCGCCGTTGACGACTGTAAGGGCATATTGAGAGCGTTGCGGACAGCGGACCTGTGCAGTGCCCGAGCTGAGCCCTACAAGGCAGGAAAAGCTTGCGGGGGGCGGGGCGCGCCACCGGTCCACATTGATGTGCACGAGGATAGGGCCGAGAAGTGAAAAAGGGCCTGCCGGAGGCTCTAGACGAGGGCATGGTGTGATGTGTGAGGCGCGAAGGGAAACTCGTGTCGTAAATTGGAGTCTGGTCCAGCGAAGAAGGGGGAACGTGCTGTATGCGGGGCCGCAGAAGTGATAAGGAGGACGTACAAGACCGAAACATGCTGGTCGAGGTTAGTGACGATACGGCATAGAGCACGGAGACAGGAGCGTGGCCGCCACGGAGCTTGTCCGGATGATCGGTTGCGCTATTGTTCAAACATCTGGCTGGGGTGCGGTGCGACATGGTGGGCGATGGATGGGCTGAGATGTGGACGGCGCGCAGAGAGAGGGAGACGAGGCGGAAAGCAAAGCACGACGTCGTCCGATGTCTGTCGATCAGTGGGCGCCATTGCGGGGCGAGCCAATGGGGAGGCCCAGCCGGGCGCTCACCCTCTGGCCGGCGCGGTGGTACGACCGACGAGAGATCAGAATAATAGCCGGCCTGCCTCGTCTCATCCCGCGTTTTTCTATAAAACGCCTAACCCTCCCTCCTTCTCCACCTCCAACCTTCCTGTCCTCCTCTCGCGCCCGCCTAAAACTCGCCCTCAACGGACGCTACCCCCGCACGAACATGACCGTCCCCATGAACGCTTCCACCAGCCAGGACGTCGCGCCCGCTGCGCGTCCCTCGGACGTCGGTATCCTCGCGATGGAGATGTACTTCCCCCGGCGTGTACGTGGCTCTCCCCTGCTCTCGCGTTGGACGCGCGAGCTCATCCGTGCATACAGTGCATCTCCGAGGAGGAGCTCGAGGAGTTCGATGGTGTCTCCAAGGGCAAGTACACCATCGGTCTCGGCCAAAAGTACATGGCCTGCTGCGACGACCGCGAGGATATCAACACCTTCGCGCTTACTGGTGCGTCGCGTTCATCCGCGCTTGCCCCCTTGGACGCGTCTGACGCGTCCGCGCGCGCACACAGCTGTCACGGGCCTGATCGAGAAGTACAACATTGACCCCAAGTCGATTGGACGCATCGACGTCGGAACCGAGACCATCATCGACAAGTCCAAGGCAACCAAGACCGCTCTTATGGACTACTTCGCCGACGCGGGCAACACCGACGTTGAGGGCGTTGACTCCAAGAACGCCTGCTACGGCTCCACTGCCGCCCTCTTCAACGCCGTCAACTGGGTCGAGTCCGCCTCTTGGGACGGCCGCAACGCGATTGTTGTCGGTGGAGATATTGCCATCTACGCGGAGGGCAGCGGTCGCCCAACTGGTGGTGCTGGTGCTTTCGCGATCCTCATTGGTCCCAATGCACCCCTCCCGCTTGAACGTGAGTGTCTCTTTGATGTCGGATGTCGCCCGGGGCGGAAAGAGCTGGGCGGACATGAAGGAGAGGGCGCGCGCGGCACCACTTGTGCAGCCGAATTTCGGATCCTCTGAGCCGCCCTGCCTTTTCTGTGCCCCGATGTTCATTTGTGAATGTGCAACTCACTGATTATTCCTTCGCAGCCATCCATGGCACGCACATGGCGAACACGTACGACTTCTACAAGCCCAAGCTCGGCTCGGAGTACCCCGAGGTCGACGGCCCGCTCTCCATCTCCACGTACATCTCCGCGATTGACGCCTCTACAAGGCGTTCCGCACCAAGCACGCCAAGGCGAAGAAGGCACAAGGCCTCTCCGGCCCTGCGTTCTCCCTCGCGGACGTCGACTTCCCCGTCTTCCACTCGCCGTACGGCAAGATGGTCAGAAGGCGCACGCCGCCTCGTGTACAACGACTTCATCGCCAACCCCGACGCCCCCAAGTACGCGAACGTGCCCGACCGCGAGGCGTGGCTGCGCAGCCGTACAAGGCCTCGCTGACGGACAAGAACCTCGAGAAGACGTTCATGGCGATCGCCAAGGCCGACTACGACACCACGGTCGAGAAGGGCATGCGCTGCGCGCGCCGCTGCGGGAACATGTACACCGCGTCGCTCTACGGCGGCCTCGCGTCGCTGCTCGCGTCCGTCGAACCCGCGGAGCTCAAGGGCAAACGCATCTCGATGTTCGCGTTCGGCTCCGGGATCGCGTCCTCGTTCTTCACCATCAAGGTCAAGGGCGACACGTCCGAGATCCGGGCGAAGCTGGACCTCGTCGCGCGCCTGGAGAGCATGAAGCTCGTGCCGTGCCAGGAGTACGTCGACGCGCTCACCCTGCGCGAGAAGAACCACAACGCGGGCTCGTACGTCCCCGAGGGGTCGCTCGAGAACATCTGGCCTGGCGGGTACTACCTCGAGAGCATCGACAGCAAGTACCGCCGCAAGTACGCGCGCCGCGAGAAGGCATGAGGTTCCCCTCCCTCTTCCTGATCCCTCCTCCTTTTCCCCTGGCGCTCACGGCTCTTACCCCTCACTGCTGCTATCGACCGTCGCATTTTATATAGCCCATCTCACGCACATCCGCACTCTCATCCACACCGTAATGTTGCTCTGCCGCGCTGCACCCGTCGTCGTGGGCGCGGATGCTGTAGGACCGGAACTTTAGATATACGCTTGTACGAATACCTTACGACAATTAAGCTACTAGACGCGCCGTCGATGCTCGACATGGGTGTTGGGATTTGAGCGATGCACGTCTGTAATCGGAATGTTAGTTCACGACAGTGCTTCGCCACTGGGTGTACGTCGGGGATTCTCAATCCGCATTCGAGTGCGCACTACTTTTATGTCTCGCGGACGTTTCGGATCACTGTCACTGAGCTGCCGACATCCGTCATCCGTTCTCACTGGCACACTCGCTCGTGGTAAATGGGCTGTCGGACGTTGATTCCCGACCTCTCTACATAGCCGCGCCTTCCACTGACCTCGCCCCGAGTATACCCGTAGCTAGTTCCCTCTCATGTATCTGGACGACGACCAAAGAGGCCATTGTGGCCGTCGCCTGCAAGACCCCACTAAGTCCCTTTCATCCACCGATAGTGAGCTTCACCTGTAGAGATGGCAAATTAGTCGCGCATGCAAGAACGCGAGAGAAGAGGGATCTTACGTTCGCGATCGCCTCGTTGAGAGCAGCAGGCAGCGTGTCTTCGACGTCATACAACGCGGAGAATAAGCGACGGACTTGCGAGCCGATGGTGTCCAGCCAAGGTGGAGACGGACAGCTCGTCATCAGCTGACGAACCGTGAAGGACGGCCTGGACCGGTTGGGCCCTACGGATGGTACGGTCACTTCAAGACGGGAGGCCAACCACTTTTGCGCTGGCCTGGCGAAGTCATGGCCATAGTCGTAGCCCTGAGGGCCGCTGTAAACGAGACTGGAAGGCCGTGTTTGGCGGATGAAGGCGTGGTTGATGCGATCCAAGGTCGCTTGGAGGGCATGCGAGACATCGAGGTGATATCGCAGTAGATGATGGTAAGCGGACGCGGAGACGTTCTCCATGCTCCTACTGTAGGCCTCCTCAACGACTGATGAATTCAAAGACCCCCGTGCCGCCTGAAGGATATCTGCGTGATCAAGATTGTGTTCTACGGCGGCGAAGTAGGCGTGAAAGGGAGAGAGCACAATCGCCCTGCTCCACATGAGTGTGACAGTGGGCCATATCCTGTTCATCCCAAGTTCGCGCGTTGCCTCGAGGACCGAGACCATCCGATTAACGTTCCATGTGACTCCGTCCGGGGCCCCTTGGTACACGAGCTCAAGTATGTCGATAAAGGCAGAAGAAGAAAGGGTGTTGGTGGAGTAGATGGGAAGGGGTGGAGCTTCGGATTGATTGTCATGAGTGGCCGGGTCAGGAGTGAGGTGAGGCATGTGAAGCGCAATCATGAAGGCGTGAGCCTCGATGGTGACGTCGTCGGAGCACTTGACAAGTGCATCGGGTTGGGGGGAACGTGGAAGGATGGAACGGGCACGTGTCAACTGCTCTTGATGGAGGGCGGCTACGGACGCTTCTGCCTCCAGCGTGAGATTGCCAGTCATCACGTTGGGAGGTCCGGTCGGATGAATTGAAGGAGGATCGATAGTGAAGGATCCGATGCGGCCTCGAACATACTGGCGAAGACGGGAATACATGCCCGCGGTCACGCCCTTTAGTAAGGCTACGGCCACTCCGCGCCCCTCTAGCATGGCTTCAAGGACTGATATGTCGCCAGGCCTGTTTCCCCGATTTATGATATCGTTGGCCGCTTGCAAGGCGAGATCGTCAAGACCAGATTGACATGCGATGGCCCACACTTGCAGGGGATGTTTCGGGATGGAAGCAGCGAGGGAAGGTGTAAGATGCTCTATCAGCCATTCCATGTCGTATTTCAGTGCGGCCCGGAGGACGGGGACGATATCCGTGAGCGCGCTCAGGACGGGTTTTGTCACCGGATAGCAGATTAGGAGGAGATTGCGAAGGGCGATACTGTCCTCAGTTACAACGACGATGGGTTGATCCGTTTGGGGGGAGGCCTCGTTGGAATGTGGCTGGGGTAGAGAGAACATGTCGGCGAAGACGGGGGAGGCATGGAGGAGGATGCCGCGGTGTACGCGGAAGTCAACATGATCGGCGCTGCGTAGGATGATATCCGCAGAGGGCTCATCGAAGGGGGCTTCCGCTTGAGTGGCCTGTGTCTGCACCGGGGCATTCTCTGTCATGGCGATGGGGGTGGTGCGGGGTGCGGGATGGACGATCGGAAAGGATGGGAGTGCCGCAAGAGCTGGGGGCACTGTGCTGCGGTAGCGCGACAGCGATTTGACCTGGACAAGGGTGGGTACATTACGTCCGGCACCCTTTCTTGGGGTATGCTGTACCCAGGAAGAATACGTATGAGAAAGTTGGTACGGCCTGCACAAAGAGGCTCCCCAGACGACGATGTTTGTATGCTGGGCACTATGCAGCGGCGATCACGAGGTGCCGCCGCTCAGCGCTGACAACTGGCCACAGTTCAACGAATCGCTCTCGCTGACGAGTATATCCAAGGATCATCGGTAGAATCACCATCTTCGGCTCCTCATGCCACTACATCCCGTTCGACTGTTTTACATACACAAGCAACGAGCTTCGAAGCATATCATTCGATTCTGTGGATTATCGCGCACCGCCGCCGCCAATGACGCCGGACCGTCTTATAAGATAGTGATCTTCACCTGTGGAAATGGCGGATCAGTCGTAGTCCGTGACGCACACCAGAAGGAAGAAAGCTGACCTTGGCAATCGCTTCGTCAAGCGCAGCAGGAAGAGCGTCTTCGAAAGCGTGCAAAGCTACGAAGAATCGACTCGCTTGTTGGTCATGCCACTGAGTCGACGGTGTGGTCAAAATTTTGCGGATTGACAGTGTCGACCTGATTTGACTCGGGCCTATGGTAGGGACTGGCACTTTCAGGTATTTGGTCAACCAACTCTGCGGCGTCTCCCGGAACAGAGAGCCATAGGGCGGCCCTATGGACAGTGTGTCATTGGTCCACGTTTCCCACATGCGCTCTAATGGCCCTTGCAAGGCTTGCGATACGTCGAGATGGTATTGCAGCAGGTAATGATAAGCCAACGCGGGACTCTTCTCCATGCTCCTGCTATATGCTTCCCCGACGTCCGACAGTGACAGTGTCTCCCGCGCCGCTTGTTCGATATAATGGTGATCGAGGGCATGCTCCACGGCTGAAAAGTATGCGTGGAATGGAGAAGTAGCGACTGTCCTCTTCCACATGAGCGTGACGATGGGCGTGATCCTATCCATGCGATATTTGCTCGTCGCGGCAATGACGAGGACCAGCCTGTCAATGTCCCAGGATACGTTTGTGTCTCCTTGATACACGAGTTCAAGGACGTCGACAAGGGTAGAAGAAAGAATGTCCATGCCATAAACAAGGTGGGATGAGTCGCTGGAGTGATCGGGTACAGTAGTAAGGTCCGAATCGAGGTGCGGGATGTGAAGCGCCATCATGAACTTGTGGACCTTGACAGTGATGTCGTCCGAGCACTTCGCAAGGGCGTCTGGGGAAGGGAACCGTGGAACGATGGACTGGAGCCTCGCGGCCATAGCCTTGGTTTTGCGCTTGGCGCTCTTCGAAGTGGAGGTCGATTTGGTTTTGTACCAAGGGGGATCGATGGAGAAAGATGGAAGGTTGTTCTGGACGTACTGGCGGAGACGCGAGTACATGCCCGCACTGACACCATCGAGTACACCAAGACTCTGGGTCTTCAGCATGTTGTCGAGTCCCTGACTTTCCGACTCCGCGCATCGTTTGATCTCCACTGCAGCCTCCCTAGCAAGCTGATCGAGACCCGAGCGACATGCGACAGCCCACACTTGTAGCGGGTACTTCGCGATGGATGCGGTAAGGAAAGTGGTAAGGTGTGTGATTGGCCACTTCATGTCGTATTTCAGCGCGGCCTGAAGGACGGGGACGATATCTGTGAGGGTCGACAGGACGGGCTTTTCCAATGGATATATGATCACGAGGAGGTGGCGGAGGGTGATGCTGTTCTCGGTGACGTCGATGATCGGGAGATCCGCTTGAGACTTGTCCTCGGCGCGACGTGGCTGAGGTAAAGAGAACATGTCGGCGAAGAAAGGGGAGGCGTAGACCAGAATGCCGCGGTGTACACGGAAGTCAACGAGGTCGAGGTCGAAGGATGATGTCGGCGGTGGGTACTACATCAAAGGGGGATCCGCGACGGTTGGCATTCTCGTCTTGGGGCGTCCTCTTCATCGCGGTAGAGTGATGGGGGTGGGGGGACGAGTCGACGGGAAGGGTTTACCGTGCTGCGGTAGCAGCGCTAACGATTGTCTGGACATGGGCAATTATATCCTGTCATTCTCTCACGGAAGATGAGAATGGCGCACCTAATATATACAATATCTTGCAGACCATCCCGGTAACGACTACATGCTCACTTGCACTGTTCCGAGCTCCTGACCCTCATACTGCAAAAATCAGTACACCATGGTATAGTACCTGAACTCACGACACAAGTGACTCACTTTTTGTGACCAAAGAGCTTCGTTGACTTCACCCGTCAAGAGTAGGATGATGCCGGACGGAGTAAGACAGAAGCGAAGGAACACCGTGTTAATTGGAGGCAGCGTGAGGAAGGAGGCGCAAGTGCTAGCAAGCGCTCACTGAGAGGGACGGGTTCTTCTGAGTCGAGACCCGATCACCCGCCGTCGCCGCACCCGCGCCGCTACCGGCGTACTACGCAGTAGCTTTGAAGTTTGCCCGGAGTTAGCCTTTCTCTCTTAACCCCTCATACACAAAATGCCGCGTCCACCATCCCCCTCAATACCGGAAAAGGAGTTCGTCTACGCGCTCAAGCAGTCTCTGCGTCTTGACGGGCGTGCCATGCTGGAGATGCGTCCGCCCACCCTCCACTTCGGCCCAGAACTCGGCTGGGTCGAGTGCACGATGGGCAAAACACGGTAAGTAAGGGCTCTCGCTGCGCGCATCCTCGCGCTGACCACGTACAAAGTGTCCTCGCGCAAGTAGATGGTAAGATGGTCCGCCCCCCACCCGAGCGGCCTCTCGAGGGCATGCTCACCATCCACTCCGAGCTCTCCCCAATGACAGCAAACGAGTACGAGCCCGGACGGTAGGTACGTGCGCGCGCCGCGTCTCCCTGCACACCTCTGACGGCGACGACGTGCGGTGCAGACCGTCGGACCAGGAGGCGACCCTCACGCGCATGCTCGACAAGGTCCTCCGCCGGAGCGACGCGGGAGAGCCTGTGCGTGCTCGCGGGGCAACGGGTGCGTCTCTCCGCTCTCCCTCGTTCTCCCGCGCGCTCGCTCAGACTAGTGGCTGGTGGGGCGGCAGGTGTGGCACATCCGGCTCACGATCCACGTCCTCGCCGACGCGGGAAACATGGTCGACTGCGCGTGCCTCGCCGGCATCGTCGCGCTCAAGCACTTTCGGAGACCGGAGGTCGAGGTCGAGGGCGAGGAGGTCACGGTGGTACGTGTGTCCCACTCTTCTCATCCCCGTTTTCTTTTTCTCGCTATGCTCCCACACTTCAAGCTCACAACCCCCGCGCATACACCCAGCACCCCCCATCAGAACGCGCCCCGGTCCCCTTGTCTATGCCCCACACGCTCTTCGCCTTCACGTTCGCGTTCTACCCGGACCCGGAGACCCCACCGCTGCTCGACCCGTTACGCCTCGAAGAAACGCTGAGCGAGGGACTGCTCACCATCGCGCTCAACGCGCAGCGGGAGCTCTGCATGGTCCAGAAGGCGGGCGGGACGCCGCTTGCGCCCGATGAGGTGCCGCGCGTCATGGGCGTCGGCGTGGCACGCGCGAAGGAGCTCGACAAGATCGTAGAAGCTCGGCTCGCGGAGGATTGGAAGGGGAGGAATGTGGAGGTGCGGTAGCGCATTTTCTGCAGCGGGCGCCCTCCAAAAACACACTCGGTAACAGTTGTTAGAATGGTGTTTACAACTCGATTAGATGGACTCTTACTTACTCTTACTTACTATTCGTACTCCGCTCGGCCGCGCCCGCGCTCGTGTCTATCTCGCGCTGGCGCTTGCGCTTCTCTCCTCAGTCGTCTCTCCATTCCGACTGAGGTATGTCTCCTACGGTACTCTGTCTACGACACATGTACTTACGTCGCCCATAGCACTCGCTCACTCTGCGTGCTATTAGGTATGATATAATTAGTCGTCTCTCCATTCCGACTGAGCACTCGCTCACTCTGCGTGCTATTAGGTTATGAGCCCTGCTGCTCGCCAATAGACGCGAGAAGCTCATCGTCGACGGATCGAGGTCACCGGCTCATCCAGCAACCTTAAGCCCGCGCTCGACAGTTCGCGCGGCGCTCACGATCTCCACGATCAAGGTTCCTTTCTCACCGGCTTATGCCTACGGCGTCCGGATCGACTACGCCGCCTCCCACGACAAACTCCCGCGCTCCCTCTCCGCAGATGTCTACGCCCGGATCGACTCCTCTCTGGGCACCTGCGCGGGAGGCGAAGGATGTTCTCCCATCCGAAAATGCGAAGCTTGAAAACGAAGCGGGGTACCTGGGTTGGCAGCTGATGATGATGAGGGCGTTCAAGATCGGAGGAATGGTCGATGTGGTGAGTGGTGCCGAGCAACGCCCCACCTCTGCGAACGGCGCTACCGCCGACCAGATCGCTATCTGGGGGCAGAAGGACGACCTCGCCGTCGGCTACATCCTCCGCTCGCTTCACGGTCGCCTCATCCCCTCCATTGCCGACAAGGACACCTCCGCAGCCATGTGGGCTACTCTCAAGCAGCAATACGGCCGCACCTCCCACTCCTCCCTCACGATGTGGTTCAAGACTATCTACACCCCGCTCGCCTCCGTCCACGCGTTCGATGCGCACGTCCTCGCCTTCCAAGAGGCCATCAATCACCTCACCGCGGGCGAGGTCAAGCTGGACGACATCGGAGCCGCTGCCGGCATGTTCGTCGCCACTCTAGTCGACGTCCCTGGTGAAGGCACGGCCTGGAACGCCTGGTCCGCCTCCCTGATCGTGAACAAGGACACGAAGCTCGACAACGTGATCGCGAGCGCGCGCAACGAGCGCCGTCGCGTCCTCGGACACCAGCCCACTTCCACCGGGTCCGGCGACTCCGCGATGTCTGTCGAGGCCGCCTTCGCGGTCATCAATCGGAACGCGAGCGCACGCGGCCAGAGGCCCCTCTGCAGCTACTGCAACCACCTCGGGCACGTCTTTGACACGTGTTACAAGCGCATCAACGGGGAGTCACCCGCGTCGAGCAGCGGGAGTGGGAACAGGGAGCGGAAGCGGAAGAAGAAGAAGGGGAAGGAGAAGGCAAACATTGCGGATGACGACTCGGGATCGGGGTCCGACAGGGAGAGCTCGAACGTTGTAAGCAAAGAAAACGCACTTATTGCATTTGTTTCCAACTACGCCCCCCGTCCGACCACCTCTCCTGCCGCATGCGACTCCGCGTTCTCGACTCGAGCGCGTTCGACGTCCTCGGCACCATCCGTCATCATCGACTCCGGTACCTCCTCTCACATCCACGCTAGACGCTCCGATTTCATCGACGTCAGGCCTAGCTCGACCACGATCCGCGGTTTCGGGAACGGCAAGGCTACTATCGCAGGCCGCGGCGAAGCGCACATCATCGCGCGATTGCCTGACGGCCGCAACACACGCCTCCGACTTCTCGACTCCTGCTATGCCCCGAAGACTTCTCCGAGTCTTATTTCGATCTCGCGCCTCGACGATGCCAACTGCTACACGCTGTTCGGCCACGGACGTTGCGTCTCGTTCAAACGCGACGATCAGGGCGCACTTCTCCGCAACATCCTCGCGCAGGACGACGTTGTCCTCTCAGGCAGCAAGGGTCTCGACCGGCTCTATCACCTGATCAGCCCTCCGAATCTGTGCTCGCCCTCACAACTGACGACGTCTCCCGCCTCAAAATCCTCATTCATGGTCGTCTGGGACACCTCTCCTTCTCGTCTATTCGAGAGTTGGCCCGCAACGGTCGGCTTGATGGCTTCAAGCTCAGCCCCGCTCAGCTCGCCTCGCCTGACCCGGTCTGCCCTTCGTGCATCAAGGGCAAGATGACTCGTGCCTCGTTTCCGCCCTCCACGCGAGAACGACCCAAGCACCCCCTTTCCTTCGTTTCTTCGGATCTCTGGGGCCCGCGCAGGTTCAGACGCCTAGCGGGAAGCGCTATGTCATGACCTTTACGGACCATTCAACACGTTGGGTCTGGATCGCGCTCCTCCGGCACAAGTCCGACGCGTTCTCCGCCTTCAAGGACTGGCTCGCTCAGGTCGAACGGGACAACGGCCGCAAGCTCACCACGTTCCGTGCGGACAACGGCGGCGAGTACCTCTCCAACGAGTTCACGTCGTACCTTCGGGAACGCGGAATCCGTCTCGAGACAACGTCACCTCGTACGCCCGAACAGAACGGTGTTGCGGAACGACAGAACCGCAGCCTCTTCGACCGTGTCCGGACCATCCTTGCTGACGCCAACGCCCCTCTGTTCCTCTGGGGCGAAGCGGTGAACTACGTTGCCTACACGAAGAACCGAAATCCCACCTCCTCCCTGGCAGCCGCACCCCATACGAGCTCTACATCGGCCGCTCTGCTGATGCGACCTTCTTGCACCGTTTCGGATGTCGTGCTTACGTCTACAACGACAGTCCGTCACGCAAGAAGCTCGATCCTCGTGCGATTGAGGGTGTGTTCGTTGGCTACTCGGGCACACAGAAGGCATACCGGGTCTACGTCCCTAGCTCCCAGAAGGTGGTTACCTCGATTCACGTCAGGTTCAACGACGACATGAACGGTTACCCCAGCACCTCGGCTGAGGGGGAGCACTACTACGACTCACTCTTCGGTCCCTCGTCTCCTGCTTCTCAGGACGATTCTACCGATGACACTCCTCTTGTCAAGTCCAGCCTCACGCCAGTGGCACCGTCCAAACCACCTCCTGCTCCGGCCTCTTCACCTCCTGTTCCTGCGCCAGAACCTGTCCCACGCAAACGAGGCCGTCCACGTGGGTCCAAGACCAAGCTGGAGGTAGCCCAACTCGTCGCTCCTCTCGTATCCGGCAGAACATCACTGCGACCACCACTCCTCCATCTGTCCCTCCTGCACCTCACGCTTCAGGC